AGAACATTTATGATTGCACTAAACCATTCATGAAAAATATTTGTCATAATATTGGGGAGTGGAAGGTTGGATTGAGCCCAAATGGAGCTTGCATAGTCACACAATACCAATGAGTGCATAGTGTCTTCACTCATGATCCTACACATGGCACACATCGGATCAACATCCACTCTCTTTATAAGCAAATTATTGGTAGTGGGAAGGATATCACTAATAGCTCTCCATAGGAAAATCTTCCACTTGGGAGGGATTTTTAATTTCCATAGAGTGGTCCACTTATCAAATGCCCCATTATTACCAGTTTCATAATCCCCAATAATGCATCTATAACCATTCTTGACCTCAAGAATAACAACCATTTGGATCCCCATGCCAATACCACGTATCATCATAATCTGGGGAAATTAGAATTGGTTGAAAAATATCAATGAGAATGTGTTGATCCCATTGAACTAGTATCCGGGTCAATCAATCCCTCAACCTTGGCACCAGCAAGCTGCGGTGGCATCTCAGTCTGAACCATAGGATCATGTTCGTCCGGAAGCCAAGGGTGTTCCCAAATTAAGGTAGATTTTCCATTCCCAATTCGGCGTCGTATTCCACTACATATTAAATCTTTAGCTGCCATAATGCTGCGCCAGCAATAACTATGATTATTTCCCAAGTTTGCCTCATAAAATGTATCTTAAGGATAATATCTGGCTTTGTAAATACGAAATACCAACGAGTCAGGGTTATTATTATTATTATTATTAGTAGTAGAAGTATCTTGTTAAATTTCGAATTATGAAAAAAAAAAAAAAAAAAAAACTTGCAATTTACACCTTTCAATTTCTATGAGGGCATTTAAGTAATTGATGTAATATAACCTAAAATATAACCTTCAACCAAACAAGTTAATGTTACATTCCACAACTTTAACCAAACACATCAGGTAATCTTACATTCCCAAAATCTCACATTACTTACCCCCGAATAATCCTATTACCTGGGGTAATCAAGATTCCGTGAACCAAACACCCCAAAAATAAACCATTTAAAACAGAGAAGTCAAAGTTTTAAACTCCTTTTTTCAAAGGAATTTTTAAAAAATAAAAATAAAAATAAAAAATCTAAACACATAATTTCAACAAAGCAACATTCACAAACACATTGAAAACTGAACTCATTTTCCAATTATTCATTTTTTGTTGTTTCACCAAATTATTTATATATTAGCTAGAAAATAAACCATTATTGGACAAAATTAATTTGATGGCTCCAAACATTAACCTTTCTTAAATAGACTACCTGGCAGAAGTGAGCTTACAACATTCTGTTGGGAGATCAATAAGACATGGCAAAATTCAGCCAAGAAAATTATTTTCCTATGACTGAAGTGAATAAATGTTATAGGAGCAATAGCATATATATTCACCAAAAGAATGCCAAAATGGCAAATTTGTGGGGCTGGTCTGGTCTGCAATGAGATATTTCAAATTATAATGTAAAAGCATCATCATTCATCAACTCCATAAGTTGCTGCAGGCTGCCCAGCAGATTTCTGCATCAATGGTGACTGTTTTCTTTTACCTGGCCCCGATGAAACCTTAACGGTCGCTGGTCTCAGTAGGCGGCTTCCAAGCTTAAAACCTCGACGGAATTCTTGAGTTATTATTCCCTCCTGAAACTCGTGAGATTCTTCCCGAGCAATTGCTTCGTGTAGCTGTGACAAGAGAAAGAAGGGTATGCTTAACCATAACTTAACGCCACTACTTTTATCGTTCAAAAGAAGTAAAATGTTGTAGCATTAAATTATGTGGGGAAAAGGGTCAAATACATTATACACCACCAAACTTTATACGAGAAGTCAAATATGCCCTCGAACTTTTGAAAGTTGCAATTAAGCAGATAAATATATCAATTTAGTGCATCAAGGCCAAAAAACTGGTTAGTGACCTGTAATAACAGGTTACTAGGGTTTCGGTTACTTTCCGAGTGAAAACCGGCGTCTGGAGATGGCGACCAAACTGGTCGACTTCTCCAATAGTCGGAGAGCGACCAACTCCGTCATCTAGAGAAGGCGACCAAATGACCAATTTGGTCGCCTTCTCTGTTGATGGAGATGGCAACCAGTTTCGCCAAGAAGGTGACCAACTGCGATGCCTTCTCCGGCGACCTATTGGTCGCCCGTCACCGGTTTTCACCCAGAAGTAACAAGATTGCCGAACAACTGCCAGAACCCTAGTGATTGACCTGTTATTACAGGTCACTAACCAATTTTTAGGCCTTGATGCACTGAATTGACATGTTTATGTGCTTAATTACAACTTTCAAAAGTTCGAAGCCCTAATTGACTTCTCGTATAAAGTTCGGGTGTGTATTTGACCTTTTTCCCAATTATGCGTGAAGTGCATGTTGGAAGCTGGAACTGTCCTCGGGCATTAGGGATAAGGGTTGAGAAACGATAAAAATAGAGAAATATGGGAAAGAGAATGGCAAGCAGAAAAGTATTTGATGGGGGTTATCTTAGTATCTTACCAAGGGATCAAATGGCTTGCCAACCGTGGGTACGACAGTGACTTGCAAGCTCTTCATTACCTCCACAAATTGCTTGTATATGCCCTGGTAACTGGTGTCTATCTTTTTCTCCCCCTCCGTTTCTAGTTTAATCAGTTGCTTAGCTCTCTCAAAGTTGTCTATAATGGGCAGGAGGTTTTCGACTACTTCTGCCTGTGCATTACCCCTAATTGTCGATTTCTCCTTGTCAGACCTTTTCCTGAAATTATCAAAATCAGCTTGCAACCTGATATATCTTTCCTTCCCCGAATTAATCTCGGCTGACAAAGCTGAAACTCTCTCGGCCAACTTAGCTTTCTCATTTTCTACTCGGCACATCATAGCCTCAATCTCTGATACAGCTTTTACATCTCCATTTAAAATGGCAACTTTGTAAAATTGCATCAGGGACTTTAAACTGGTAGAATATTTCTCATCTGCTTCGTTTTCTGACACTCCTAGTTCACTAGGACTAGCCTCATCACCATTTGTCTGCAATAGATTATTTTCATCACCAATGTTATGACAGCAATAAAGACTTAGAAATTTAATTCAAGATTTACGTGGGAGCAAAGCAGTTTCTTTTTTTAAAAAATTAATTGTAATGATAATACATCCAAGGTTACAGTCATCATTTTTTTTTTTTGGGTATACCCAGGGTTTCCACCGTCAGACAAAATGACTAATCCCCTCGCTGAATTGTAGGCACCTCTTTTGGGTGGGACAGCTGGCCTGGAGATTTAAGGCTACTCCATTCCCAAAGCCAATGATCGAACCCTTGACCTTTGGTTAAGGATGGATGAGTCCCTTCCACTCAATCACACCCTCCAGGTTGGGTGACAGTCATCATATTTATATGAAACCCTAACCTACTGTACATTTACAAAATTACCCCTATACCGTATTGTGGGGGTGCTACCCCCACACCCCCAACCCACTCAGCAATGTTATACCAATGTTATGACAACAATAAAGACTTAGAAATTTAATTCAAGTTCTTCTTTTGTATTATATGACATTGTTGAGAAAAATGAGATAAAGCAATCTAGAACAAAGACAAAAACAAAAAAGAACGCAAGATTTACATGGGAGCAAAACAATTCTTTTATTAATTGTAATGACAATACATGCAGGGTTACGGTCATCATATTTATATGTAACCCTAACCTACAGTTGCTACCCCCAACCCACTCAGCGAACCATGGTGACAAGTGTTGTCGCTCCGCTACCGTCCAAGTGTCCAACATCTATCTTCTTTCAGTAACATATGAGACATACACGCCAGACATCCCACTTTCATGTGTTATCTACCATGTATAGGTTCTATAATTCCTTGTAGGAAACATTTTCATTCTACTTCACCAATCACCATCTTATATGCACCAAACTATTGGAAATATGTGATTGAGGAAATCCCTTAGTTTAAAAAAAGGACTGAACAAGTGAATGGAATTTTCTTATTAGAGATCATGCAAACATAAACCTAGCATCCAAAACCCTATAATATGAAGAGTAGGAAACTAGCAAGTAAAGACTTGGATGTTCTAAGGACGCAAATTGAAAGTAACCATTCAAAATATCACATAATAGAGAATAGAAGCTCATCATTAGCAGCAAATGCAATGTAGAAACTTTGAAGTTTATGTCAATGAACCAATTCAATAGGAATTTGAAAATCAAAGCTAAACAAAGCATTGAGCATTCCCAGATCATTATCACTGAGCATTACAATTGTGCTTCACACGGATAAGGCTCTAAATATACTCACTGCCTTCTTAAGGGCTGAAGAACCTAAACTACTCATATAGTCATATCACACATTAGTCATTTAGCATAAGCTTTCATACTCTATGGTACAATATAGAAGATTACCATAGTTGCTTTACTACTACCATTTAAAAAGTTTATATCCAGCATGTTATCCAACCAGTCGAATCGTGATTATGATCGCCTATTACCTGAATTTTTGAAATGGAGCCATTTGAGCTAGCAAGTTGTATAAAGTCTAAACAATAAATTTTCAATGACTGGTGGAGTACGCCAGAATGCAAGGGAATTGCATCACAAAGGAATGGAAACTTCTATTTGTATGGACACGAAGGCTTCAACACACAACCTAACTGTGAACACATGAACACTCTGGAACTACACTAAGCCCAGCCTTCTTTTAAAAATTCACTAGAATAGTACATCTAATAATTTTATTCCCAAAGTTGAACCACTTACTAGCACTCTTTATAATTGCCAATTGCAATGGTAATTTCATAGTTTTCTTTATTTTGGTGGATAAAAACGTTTCTAGTCAACAAAGCACACAAACAGTGGCAAGCTCAAAAATCTTGCCAACCATAACATCTTCACAGTTCACACTGTATTAATGAAGACCAAACCCCCCCCCCCACCCCCCCACCCCCCCCCCCCAAAATAAAAAAATAAAAAATCTAAAACATGAAAAAGAAAACAATAACAATACGGAGTAATATTAATAAGAACATTTTCTAAGAAGCAATATATCAAATAATCATAACAACTACCTAAAAAAAATCAATTTTTTTACAATAAACCAATAAATAATCAACCAAAGGTGAAGCAAATAAAACAACAATTATGTCAATAAGAAGATGAGAGAGTACTTGGGGAGCAGAGTCTTTAGGAGTAAGGGCAGCTCTGGGCAAGGAGCGCCTGGTATTCTTGATTATAATTGGACTGTGTTTGTACTCTCTGGCGAGAGGTAAACTTGTGCTGTGGATGGGTTTATCCAGAAAGAAATGACAGTAATGAATTAGGGTTTGGGGGGTTTTGGAAGCTCCGGAGGAAGAAGAAGAAGAAGAAGAAGAAAACGGAACAGTGTAGAAAGCGTTCGAAAAAGAAGCTGCCATTTTTGTGTGAGATTCGGACCCTCCAAGAGTCCTCCTAAATCCTTGCCCAAAGCACAAATTGAAACAATGAATCCCTTTTTTTTTTTTTTATCATTTTTTTTTTAAAGCAAAACAACTGGGTGAATACAGAGTAGACCAAACAAGTTCATTTTTTTTTTTTTTTTTTTTCCTTTTATCAATTCATGCAGTAACATCACTTGACCCGGATTTG